GTACTTTCCAGCAATTATGTAACTATTTCTCTTCTCTTCAGATAAACAGATCCTTCTCAAGACAGGTTGGGTTTTCAAGAGAAATCTAGCATTGAAACCACCACTGTATTTGGGCAGGTTCTGTCCATGGCAATCAGATGTGTAAGTAGGACCCTTAGCTGACATCAAGACAAACAGCTCCACTGAGCCTTAGAATGGGGCCTCACTTCATTCTTTTGAATGCAAACTGTGATGGCCCCAGACTGAACCCTTATACACTATCCTGAGAGCAGAAAGCACACAGAAGTCACCTCCTCATCCTTTCCCGCTGACCTATATATGTCAGGAGTCATTCTAATACAAGTATCAGAAATGCAATCCAACTGGCTTAAGGAGAGAGGGAAATAATTGCAAGAATGAAGGGACAGGAACACGGCAGTTGTTAAGCTGGTCTTACTTAGAGTCAGAAGCAGAAGGGCCATGCCAGAGAATGGATGTCTAGACAGAGCCTGTCAGAAAGCACCTGCCAGAAACAGGCAGCTAAGATGGGGCTGTCAGAGACAAGGAGGGCTACATCTGTCCAGAAACTCTGAAGGGCAAGAACCTGAGGCTGCGTGCACACTGCAAATGTGGATTTGTCCTATCGCCTGAGGAGAGTCATCATAGTGACATCATAGCGAGGGGCCTATGGTCAGTGTCCTGAGGAGGGGACTCATCCTATGGGAGAGATCTGAGGTGCATATGCTTGATCTGAGGACAAGAAACACGGGTCAGGAAGGGGACATGATAATGGTCAGTTTGTCCCCTAAGAGGCAAATACTGAATAATCCCACTTACATGAAGTATCTAGAATAGACAAATGCATAGAGATAAAATTTTATTGGTGATTACCAGGGATAGGTGGTAGGAGGAAATGAGGGAGGTTTTGCTTAAGGGGTACTGAGTTTCTGTTAAGGATAATGAAACAAATTGGAAATGGACAGTGGTGATGGTTGCACAACATAATGAATGTAATTAATGTCACTGAACTGTACACATAGAAATGGTTGAAATGGTAAATATTTTGCTATATATATTTACTAGCATAAAATAAACTTTTTTTAGAGAAAGAAAAGAAGGCTTAGGGCTTGTAACTAGACCATTTGGGCCAAGTCCTGGCTCTGTCATTTTCCAGTTATGTGACCCCAGGCAACCTCTCAGTCCTGCTTACTCACTGGGCTATTGTGACCATTCAATGAGATGATGCATTACAACACTTAGCAAAGTGCCAGGTACAGAGAAAGCAGACAATAAGTGACAGCTCTCATAATCATTACTGTTAGAGAGTAGAGGCTATCCTTAACAACGGTGGAGCACCACTGTTAGCTGAACCAGAAGCGGGGAGTGGAGTACGCTAGTCCTTACTGTAATAACATCAATCTCATCCCTCCACTGATTAGCCTCAAGCAATGTGGAGCACTGCATATCAACATTCCCTCTATCTGTAGCTCTCAGATGGGGGTTTGACAGGCACCAAGTAGACACTGCAGTTTACAGCTAGTCATAAGAAGAGAATAAGGAAATGATAAGAAAGCATAAGAAAAAAAAGAAAAGCATAGAGTGATACTCAATTCAATAATATGGGATAACACTAAGCAAATCAGTTAATTAACAAATGTAAAAGGGTTATACCGTCCTCTTAATGGGCTGCTGGTGGCGCAGTGCTTAAGAATTAGGCTGCTAACCAAAAGTACAGCAGTTAGAATTCACCAGCCGCTCCTTGGAAACGCTATGGGGCAGTTTTACTCTGTCCTATGGGGTTGCTATGAGACAGAATCGACTCGATGGCAATGAGTTTGGTTTTTGGTTTGGTCCTATTAACAGGCAAGATCTCAGATTGGGTTCAAAAGCAAATTCCAACTAAATGCTGTGTACAAGAATCATACCTAAAAAAAGCAACTTAAAAATATTAAAAGTTAAAATATAGTCAAAGATTCATCAAACAAATGCAAATAAAAAATAAACCTGAAGTTGTAGAATTAATATTATAAAAAGAAAGAAAAGCAAATAAAACCAAGACCATTTTGTATGGGACACTTCATAATGAACTTACAAATGTCATAAATGTCTAGGTTTTTTAAAATACTTGAGATTTGTCTTCTGGATTAATATATGATCAATTTCTGTAAATGTTTAATGAATCCTAGAAAAGAAGTTATAATATCTCAAATTACTCTTACAATTACATTATTATAATATTCAAAATATTAATTTTTGACAACTTAGTTTCTCAAGGACAGAAATATGTGCAGAGTCCCCTCCCCTTGCATTTCTAGAAAGCATTTATGTCACATATTCTAAACCAATGTGAAAAAACTAGAGGGAAGACTATTTTTAAAAATCCAAGCTCTTCACAGTGGCATTATTCATAATAACCAAAAAGTGGAAACAACTCAAGTGTCCATCAACTGATGAATGAACAAATAACATGTGATACATCCATACAATGGAATCTAATTAGGAAATACGAAGGAATGAAGTACTGATGTATGCTACAACATGAATGAACCCTTAAAAACACGACGCTAAGTGAAGCCAGTCACAAAAGACCATATATGTCCAGAATAGGCAAATCTATGGAAACAGAAAGTAATCAGTGGTTGCCTACAGCTGGGCGGGGGTGAAGGAGGGTAATGGTTCGAGAGAAATGGGCAGTGACTGCTAATGGGTATGGGGTTTGTTTTTGGGGTGATGGCTGCACAATACTGTGAACATACTAAAAATCACTGAGTTATACACTTTAAATGGATGAAATGCATGGTACACAAATCATCTCTCTCAATAAAGCTGTTAAATAAAACCTCAAAAAACCTAAGTCCTTAAAAATTAAAAAAAACCACTACCTTAAATAATACTTGAATAAAAGAAAAACTGAATCCATAATTACAGAGTATTTAAAGAGTATCACTGAGAACACTACTATGTTAAAACATGCAAGGCCCAAAAAAGTAACAATTAGAGAAAATTTTATAACCTTAACTGTTTTCTATACTAAAGTGGAAAGGATGCTATATATACAAATGAACCATTAATTCAACTTAAGTAGTTAACAGAAATAACAAGAGAACGAAAGATAAACAGGACAAAGTAATTATGAAAGACAAAAACAGAAATTCAAATTTAAGACATCATCTACTGTAAGATGCACCATTATTTTATGTCTCACTAAGAAAAACTGCTGCCAATCAACGTCTCAATGCTTTCTTATCGTCAGTTAAAAGATTCATCCCAATTTCAGAAATGTTAAAATATGGGAGGGAGGCGGGCGGGGGGGGGGGGAGTACATCATAAAATTGATGAAATACAGCAAATTAGAAAAACAGTGTAAACAAATCCAAAACCCAATTACTTGAAAAGGTCAACAGACAAACCTCTGGCAAGGCAAATAAAAAAGGAAAGAGAAAACAAAAATGCAAAATATTAGGAATACAAAAGCGAATATAATGATATACACATAGGTGAATACTACATACAACTCTAAGGTCAAAACTCAAACAAGAAAAAAAAACCTCTATGCTAATAACTTCAAAAACCTGAATCAAATGGATAATTTTCCGCTAAAAAATAAATTTTCCAAATTGACTTCTGAAATATTAGAAAATCTAAATAAATAATGCCCATGGAAGAAATTTTAAAAGCTGTCGAAGATGCATCTCCAAAAAAATACACTGAATCCCTGAAAATATTAGGGGGTCACTTCTATGAAACTTTAATTTCCCTTGCTATTAAAACTATTGTAAGTTATTTTAGTCATAAAAAGATAGAAATTTTTTTCATAAAATTAGCATAACCCTGAAACACAAACTACAAGAAGTATTTTTCACCTATCAAATCGGCAGAGATTAAAAGAAGAGAGAGAGCAAAAAAAAAAAACACGAAAATGCTCAGTATTTGTGTAAGTGGGAGAAGACAGGCAATCTCATCTCCTTCTGATGAAAGCGTTAAGTTGGCACAACCTCTCTGGAGAGCATTTTGAAAATATACATCAAAAGTCATATAATTTTGCATAAGTAATAAGTTATCACACTTCTAAGAATTTATCATAAAGTAATAATCATAAATATATATAAAGTGTTTGTAACGTGGATATTCATTGCAGCATTATAATAGCAAAAACTTAGAAACAACTTAATGATCAATATTACAGAACAGATTCAACTATGACAAATCTATCTGATGGGTTTGAGTTATACTACAGAATTGTAGATAATGACATTAAATGTTCACAATTTGTTGTTAGTTGCCAGTGAGTGGCGACCCCACATGTGCAGAGTAGAACTGCTCCATAGGGTCGTCAAGGCTGGACTTTTCAGAAGTACATCGCCAGGCCTGTCTTCCGAGGAACCTCTGGGTGGGTTTGAACCACTAACCTTTTGGCTAGTAGTCCAGCGCTTAACCAGTTGCACCACCCAGGGACTCCAAAGTTTACAACAGAGTAAGAATGTATATTTTAATATGCACTAAAATGAATGAAAGGATATGGAGCAAAACAGTGATTATCTCTAGGTGGGATAACAAATGATATTAATTTTCTTCTCTTTCTAATCTCTTACAATGAACATGCATTAATTTCTATTCAGAAAAATCAACAATCAGTATTATAATCTCGTTTCTACAATTCATATGAAGTATACTAAAACATGCAGAGAACCAGAACAGAGGGGTTTGGGCTTGGGTTCTCCAATTCAGGAGAATGTGGATGAGTCATTAAGAGTCTTGTTACTGTAAATGTGACCCTCCTGGAGGCTTGGGATTCACAGGTCACCTATATAAAAGACGAAATGTCTTTTGTTTCAAAGACCTCATCAGTTCCCAGCTCTGTCAAGTATCAACAACCTGTTCCAATCCAAGGAGCCAACCAATCACCTCTTCATCCATGGCCCATGCTGCTTCCTTGCAACTTCTCAATAGAAACATTAAAAACATCTTATTTGACACTGAGCAGATTTCTCAAAAAATAATAAGCCACTTCAGACTCCTACCTAGATAGGGAATACTGGGAACCATCTTCAGGCTTCGGATATATTCCCGAGTCCGCTTGTAATTATCTTCTTTAGACATCAGGTAGTCCAATTTCTCAAAGGTGGTCTTGTCTTTTCGATTCAAAAGCTGGAGAGAAGAAGATACAGAGTAAGAAAATTAATATCATTTGTTATCTCACCTAGTATGAGAGGGAAGGGAAATAAACCAGAAGAAGCTAAAGAAAAAGGATAACTATGGATGAAGATTAAAAGGAACCATCTTATATTGCACGTTTATAGTGTGCCAAATCCTAGGCACAATTAAAGGCTTTAAAAGGCCATTTCATACGAAGATGAAAAGTTTCATGGCCTCAATTTTGTCATTTTCATAGAATTTCAAACTTGAATATATCCTCCGAAGACACCCATCCCACTGTTATAAATGATGCCAGTATCCCCTGCATAGCACCTACCTCCGTGGTTGCACAGACTCTACAACAACGAAAAGCTTAGAGTAAAGCTCAAGGTCATCCAAGTGTGATTTCACAGCTACACTAGGTCTCTTCCCCCCCATCCACAGCTGCCTGCTCTCTCAACAACTTTTCCATTGCTGAAGGCACTCAGGAAATGCCATGATTCACATGTGCATATTGTGCACATAGCCAGCCCTCTCTCCAATCTAGGATGTCTCTTCCAGATTACCTGTAGTCTATGGCTATGTCATATTTACACCAGGGATGGTATTTTAATTAAAAAAAGCCGACCTCTTTTCTATACGCAGTCACGTAAAGGGTGACTCAGTTAAGCAAATACAGGATGTACCCACAGCCCAGAGATTAGAGAAGCAAGATCATTTTGTGACTGAGATCTCTGGTCTGTAAAGCTGCTCACTAGGGAAGGGGAAGAAGTAGACACTTCAACCGCTTTTCAAGACCTGATGATAAGGAACCATGTTGTGGTGATTCTGTATGTCCTAGGACAAGGCCCAGTGCCAGTACATGGCAACAAGTCTCCTTGAATAAAATGGCTTTCAGAAAAGGAGTGTAGGCTGAGAGACCAGGCTTGAAAGGAAGAAGAAGGTCACTGAGGGAGGGATGCATGTGGCACAGCATGTGGTTGATGTTGGGAGCTCCTCCAAGTCCAGCTGCCAGGGCCTGGTTTCTAGGGGTTGAGATCAATGGCTAAGCCCAGGAGTGAAGATGGAGAGGGAGCCCAGGTCTGGAGTGTCCTTGACCAAGTTTGGCACTAAGACCTCAACGGTCCGTGCAAAGACCTAGACCAAGAGACCAACTACGTCATTCAGACTGAGGCACGCCAGTGTTCAACAGCGCATCATGCAACAGAGAGAAGGCGAACAGTAACTTCAGTGCTGGGGAGGCAGGCCAGTTTCCCCTTTTCTACTAAAGCAACCTTCCTGGGGTTCTTCAGTAGGTTAGGAAACCTCTTCTCTGACATTTTAATTGTTGTACAGCAGCTCACTGCATATGAGCAGCCATGGCTTACAGACTCTATGAAAGAGAGGCAGAAAAATATGCTGAAAGGAAGGTCCCAGGGCCTGAAGAAGTTGGAGAATAAAAAGCAAGCTTTTTCTTTTTCCACTGAGCGATTCAGGACACATCAGGATGGGGATAGTACACAGATGCTGGAGACAATGAATGCTTAACTGGTTCACCAATTTGAGGCTGTTACCCATTATATTAACAAATGGACAGGAAGTAACAACATCTTCCACTACTGTTTGTAAACTACCTCACACACAATAATTCCTCTTTAGAAAGCCCAGGGATACAGACGACAGACGGAGCCAGGACTAGTGCCTTTGTTTCAGGTTCATAAACAAAATGGTAAGTGATCTGTCCAAGCCCTTTGGGGAACTCTACTCGATAGAGCAGAGAGACATCCATAATAACATGATGAGTGAACAGAGACTGAGAACCTAGATAAATAGTAAATTAATTATGGGAGATGGAAGTGTCTAGGAAAGCTATATAGAGAGGGGGTATTTGAAATGAGCAGTTAAAGATGATCAATTTGCCAAATGAATAACATATACCCAGATCATAACCAGCTACTCTTAGTTGTGAACTGCCCCACTGCAAAGGTGAATAGGCCCCAAGTTCAGGAGGTCATTTCTTTATTAATACAACCTAGAACCCTGCTGACTTATTTGGCAATTGCCCATATTCATCCAGCAGTCAAATAAATCCTGACATCCTCCTCATATACCCTATGGCTGAGCCATGCTGGCTCCAATGCTTGCGTCACTGGTTCTCTGGGCTCAGCTGGGGGATTTCCCATGTCCCTCACCATGTTCAGTCTATCAGTTCAGCCTGTCAAATGCCTCTATCCATGGTAACACAGAGGTGATCAGCCTGTCATCTGTGTCCGGACAGATATGGCCAGGCCAACATGAGATTAGAGCCTGGGGAATGTCCCTTGCAGACCGGCATCAAACCAACACATGGGGGTTCTTTAGGCAGAATGAGACAACCAAAGGCTACATTTGCATTCTTCCTAAATTTAAAATCAGGCTCCTCCAAGTTACAGCTCCCTTTGTTAATCTTGCCTTATCCATGTACTGCCTACCACCCCCTATCCCCTACACACACTTGCACACGTTCAGAAGGGCTGGATCTGGATAACTTCTCTCATCTGCTCCATTCTGTGCCTATAAATGAGATTCAGAACAGCATCAGAATTCTCAATAGCAATGCCTAAGATGCTAGAAGACAAAGGAGAAATGCCTCCACAATTCTGATGGAAGTCGATTTTCAATTTAGAATTCTAAATCCAGCAAAACCATCAATCAAGTATAGAGAATAGAATAAAAATAATTTTAGTCATGAAAAAACTCAGAACATCTAAAAACTAATTAAGAATTTCGTCCAGTAAAATGAAGGAATAAACTAGGAGCAGAAAGACATGGGATACAGGAAATAGTGGATGCAAACCAGGAGTAGTAAACAGAGGTTCTGGAATGACAGATGAGCAGCAGACCTTTTAAGAACGACCAAACTGATGTCAATAGGTTGTACACTTGTAAAAAGTTGAACTGGCAAATGCTTGTTGTTGTTGTTGCTGTTAGGTGCTGTCAAGTGGATTCCTATTTATAGCGACCCTATGTACAACAAATTAAACACTGCTCAGTCCTTTGCTATTATCATAATCCTTGTTATGCTTCAGCCCATTGTTGCAGCCACTGCGTCAATCCACCTCGTTGAGGGTCTTCCTCTTTTTCGTTGACCCTCTACTTTACCAAGCACGACGTCCTTCTCCAGGGACTCATCCCTCCTGTTAACACATCCAAAGTATGTGAGACGAAGTCTCGCCATCCTCGCTTCTAAGGAGCATTCTGGTTGTACCTCTTCCAAGACAGATTTGTTCGTTCTTTTGGCAGTCCATGGCATAGTCAATATTCTTCGCCAACACCACAATTCAAAGGCGTCAATTCTTCTCTGGTCTTCCTTATTCATCATCCAACTTTCACATGCACATGAGGTGACTGAAAACACGATGGCTCGGGTCAGAAGCACCTTAATTCAAGGTGACATCCTTGCTTTTCAACACTTTAAACAGGTCTTTTGCAATACAATGTGTCTTTTGATTTCTTGACTGCTGCTTCCATGGGTATTGATTGTGGATACAAGTAAAATGAAATCCTTGACAACTTCAATCTTTTCTCTGTTTATCATGATGTTATTTATTGGTCCAGTTGTGAGGATTTTTGTTTTCTTTATGTTG